AGGGTTATGTCCTCCAAGCTCCTCAGACTACCACAATGGTTCTCAAATTTCAGTGTGCCAAGAACTGCCTGAGAAGCTCGTTGAAAATTTAGTCTGCCAAGCCCCATTCCCAGAACTTCTGACTCAGCAGCTCTGAGGCAGAGCTCAGTAATCTAACAAGCGCTGCCCGGTGGCTCCACTGCAGATGGGCTGCAGTGCGTACTTGAGAGACTGGCCCATCAGTGGTTTCCAAACCTCACGGGCTGGTTAGATTTCTAACCTGTGCTCCTGCAAGTACAGACTCACACAGGCAAGAGTAGAACAGGGGAACCTGCACTCAACGGATGGGCCCCAGGACCATCTGGATGAATGTCCTAGGTTATGCCACATGAATATGCCATTTTTGTATGTTGAAAATGTCAAAATATTTGAAAAAATGGAATGTCAGAAATTTTATGTGATTCAGCCTAGCATAAGGCAGTAATCAGCTGAGTAGCCGTTTTAAATAAGTAAGGATCCGGATGTCAGGACAGAAACTTGATTAGAAAACCACGTGCAAGGTAACACCCCATCCATTCAGCTTAACAACAGAAACCATGCAGCCCTGAGCTCACTTCCAACCCTCTGCTCCTCCACAAGCCACAGAAGCTAATTATTCACCCACCTCTTTGGAAGCCCTGCCAGCTCCCACCTCTGCCCCAGCCTCCCCTCCGCCCTTCACTGCCCTTGGACCTCCTTCCCATCCTTGACAGGAGCTCAAGCCTACCTGTGGAAATCACCTCCTTTCCTTTTTTAAAAAAATATTTATTTATTTATTTTTGGCTGCGTTGAATCTTTCATTTCTGTGCGAGGGCTTTCTCTAGTTGCGGCAAGTGGGGGCCACTCTTCATCGCGGTGCGCGGGCCTCCCACTATTGCGGCCTCCCTTGTTGCGGAGCACAGGCTCCAGACACGTCGGCTCAGTAGTTTTGGCTCACGGGCCCAGCTGCTCTGCGGCATTTGGGATCCTCCCAGACCAGGGCTCGAACCCATGTCCCCTGCATTGGCAGGCAGATTCTCAACCACTGCACCACCGGGGAAGCCCTCCTTTCCTTTTTTAACCCCCATCACCTTGCCTCGTCATGAACTCCAGTCCACACCGCGCTGCCTCTCTCACCTGACACTGAACTATAAACATCCTGGCAACCCTGCTTAACTCTCTGACAATGCTGGTTTTGCCTTCCCACCTAGATGATCAGTGTTTTGAGAAATGCTTTTTTGCATTCTCTGGAAGATTTAGCAAAGCTACCTCATATCTAATGATTATTGATCTCAAAACTTTCCTGGAGGCAAATGCATCCAACATGAGTTCACTCCAGTCAGTAACTGTTAATAGGAAGTTTCTGTCCTGACATCCGGATCCTCACCTAGTTAAAACTGCTACTCAACTGATTATTGCCTTATGCTAGGCTGAATCACATAAAATTTCTGACATTCCATTTTTTCAAATATTTTGGCATTTTCAACACACAAAAATGGCATTTTCATGTGGCTTAACCTAATACATCCAACTCATTGCTGCAAACACAATGCCAGCCCAGTTGCACATGCTGAAAAAGCAAAACTGGGCAGAGATGTGTGGTAGTGAAGCCCTATGGAGAAAAGTAGCACAGATCTGAGTTGGTTCTAATATCAACAAAAGTAAACTTCCCGTTCTTGCCCTGAAATTTCTTTTGGATTCCATTCGTATCATAATTGTTTTAACTAATCTTGTAGAATGTCTGTACTCAGTCTAGGAAGGCAGGAAAAAGAATGCTTCTGGAACCATCTACTAAAGGGAAGAGCTTCAAAAATGGGGACGGGGGGCTTCCCTGGTGGTGCAGTGGTTGAGAGTCCGCCTGCCGATGCGGGGGACGCGGGTTCGTGCCCCAGTCCGGGAAGATCCCACATGCCACGGAGCGGCTGGGCCCGTGCTACTACATAGCAAGCATTGTTTTAAGCTCTTCATATTTATACATAAATAAGTTAATATTCCCCAAACCCTGTAAGGTATGTGATATTATCCTCATTTTACAAGAGATGAAAAGTGAGGCACAGAGATGTTATATAATTTGCCCAAAGCCACGCAGCCAGTAAGTTTCAGAGCCAGGATTCAAGCACAGGCTGCTGGATCTAGGGTTTGTTTTCCTACATACCCGTCTGCTACAGCCTCGTGGGGGCAGTGTTCTGTAATAGCAGCTGGATGGGTAGTTGGATGGGTACCATGGCAACAGAAGAGGGAAGGAGACAGGTGTTCCCTTCCCTGGACTGTGCAGCTACTCACTTTGGTAGGATGAGGACCATGCTTCAGGAAGAGTAGATGAGCATCAATTCCACCCCTGGGTGTATAACCAAGAGAACTGAAAACTGATGTCCACACAGAAACTCGTACACGAATGTTCACAGCAGCATTATTCACAATCACCACAAAGTGGAAACAATTCTGATGCCCATTACTGATGGATGAATGAATGAAATGTGGTCCATCCGTACATCGAAATATTATTTGGCAATAAAAAGGAAGGAAGGGCATGCCCCAACATGGGTGAACCTTCAAATCATCATGCTATGTGAAAGACGCTAGTCACAAAAAGCCACATGTTGTATTTCTATGAAATATCCAAGATAGGCAAATCCATAAACAAGTAGTAGACTAGTGGTTGCCAAGGGGAGCGACTGCTAGCAGGTGCAAGGGTTTCTTTTTGGGGAGATGAAATGTTGTGGAACTAGACAGTGGCTGATGGTTGGACAATCTTATGAATATACTAAAAACCAGTGAACTGTATACTTTAAAAACTGTATATATTACGGTACATGAATTGTGTTTTTTAAAAAAAGAATATAAGAGCAACTGTGCTCCCCTGTGAAAATCTCGAGAAGGAAAATACTTACTTTTTCTGTCCACTATGGCAAATACAATCAAGTTACCACTGTACTTGGCTCTAAAGTGCTTCTCTATATAGTTTTTAAAAATCCCAATATATAACTTTGGCAGATCAATAAAAAAATACCTGAGAATCTCTAAAAACATAAAACTTTATAAGTATAATTTCATTCACAGTAATACATTAAGTTTTGATAAATGACCCAATAAAATTAAATCCAACGAGAAAGAAAAAATAAGTAACTTTATTAATATGACTTCAAAGTTAGTATTCAATGTACATTTCATTTCCTACTTCCCTTCTTTTGTACCTTCCTGTGGTGCCATATATAGCATCATAGTGAAGAGCCATCCTGCCTGGGTTGGAATCTGGCCTCTGCCACATACTAGCTGTGTGCCCCAGAGCAAAGTTAGCTGCTCTGTGCCTCGGCTTCCTCTTTTTAAAACAGGGGTGGCAGGAAGCATACTTACCTCAAAAGGTTGCTGTGGACTAAACACAAATGCGTATTTGTAAAACACAACAGTGCCTGGGACACGAAATGCTTTATAAGTGTTATATATCACGAGTGATGTAATGGGACAGAGCTCCACCAGCAACAGGACTGGACACAGATGAGAATTCATAAAGAGAGGCCTGGGGGAGTAAATACAAAACTCCTGACAGCAGTCACTTCTCAGAATGTGTGAGATGTCAGAGATGTACAAGTCCCCTCAGAAACATGAGCTAGATAACCCCATTAAGGTTATTTACAAGGCACTGAAATGTCACACCCATAAGGAGGAACTGCATATAATAACCAAAGGTGTTGCATGCAAAGTGTGTGTATATATGTATATGCAAACACTCAAAAATCTAGCTATTCACAGAGGAAACCACTAGGTAATGCTAAAAATGATTTTAAATCGGGGGGTGGGGGGGGGGAACAAACAAACAAAAAAATCCCCTTGGTTACCAGATACTGTATGCCTAGCACAGAGCACTTCCTCTATCATCCATCTAACTGGATTTCTGTCTAAAAACCAATAAACAAGTAAAACTAACTGGAACTGACTCCAATACCATAAGCTGCTTCTCGGGTTACTTTCCTGGAAATGGGATGTGGCGCTTGAACAGAAAGAAGAACAAATTCATTTTTTAAATAGCTCTTCAGAGGCAGCCTCACATTCACTGCCGCCATTTACCATACTAACTTTAATGTATGGAATGATCTACAAGAGCTACTGAATTTTTCTCATTTGTCCCGAGGCAAACAGAACAAACAGAAATTTTGTTCTGGAAAAACAGCATGCAGAAACTGCTCTTTAAAAATTAACTTCGCGACGTAAATTCTGACTATCAGAATTGACAGTCAATTCTGACAAACAAAGGGTGAAGCAGCCCGTTTCTCCACCAGTTAAGGAAGTCACTATGGTCCCGATGTAAAGGAAGGACAGTTCTGATTTGCAAAGTGCTACTGAATGCTAGCAAAGCAGCAAATCTCCAAAGCAACCCTAGAGATTTGTCCCTATAAACACTTAGCTGACAATCGTATGAAGTAACTCAAGTTAAAAATTTACTGAAAGTAAAATCTAAGCCAAAAGAATTCATTTATAAAAGATTGCTCAATGTCTTTAAATAAGTCTTTTCAGGTAACTGAAACCTAGGCAGTGCAAGGAAAATCTTGAGCCGTAATTACCTAGATCCTCGCTGTGCATGGACCAGTAGCACCAGGGAACAGGTTAGAAAGGCAGAATCCCAGGTCCTCCCAGACCCACTGTATCTAAGCTTGCATTTTTTTTTTTTAAGGTTGCATTTTAACACGATCCCTGTGCTCTGCATGAATGCTAAAGTTTGAGGTGCACTGGTCCAGATGCTCTCTCTCTGGTTACATCCAGACAAGGAACGCAGTGATGCAATTAAATATTTTGCTTTTCAACAAGTACAGGCTTTTGGAGGGGGGGCGGTGGTCGGGTACCCCAACTCTTAAAATTAAAAGGAAAAAAAATGGTACACGGGGGCCACACACAACCCTTCGCTATCAAGACATTCTCAGAAAGGCTCAGAAACAACCCAAAGGGGATGTGTGAAATGCTTCCCACAAGCCCAAGCTCATGGGGAGTGAACAAAGACGCGCTGGTACCTGCAAAGCGCAGAGGTGCATCTTTGTCCAGGGCGATCAGTGGCGGGTCGAGGAGCACGGTGCTGTCACTCTCCGTAACTAAGCCGTGATACGTGGGCTCCAGCCACGGTTTGTGCTTGTTGACTGTGTTCAAAAACAGAAAAAGGAGAAAGGACACAGGCCAGGTTAGAATTACTATTTTCAACTCGACTGCTTTTGAAGACACACATCCATTATTAAAAATTTAAAACTCTCCTGAGTTTGGAAGGTCACACTGCTATTTTTTGTGGTGAAGTTTGGTATCAACGCCCAAATGGGATGAAATCCTAAATTCTAAAGTGATGTAGAAATTATTGGAGGCCATGAAGCAACCAAAAATAAGAAATAAATTGCTCTAGAAATTGAAAGAAAGAAAAAAGACTGATGGTTATGGACGGTATCATATCTTACTACCTCTGTTTTCAGCCTCTCTTAGAAAAGTTACAAATAAAATATGTTGTTTCTTGGATTAAGAGATACAAACTAGGGCTTCCCTGGTGGCGCAGTGGTTGGGAGTCCGCCTGCCAATGCGGGGGACACGGGTTTGATCCCTGGTCCTGGAGGATCCCACATGCCACGGAGCAACTGAGCCTGTGTGCCACAGCTACTGAGCCTGCACTCTAGAGCCCGTATGCCACAACTACTGAAGCTCATGCGCCTGGAGCCCGTGCTCCGCAACAAGAGAAGCCACAGCCTGCGTACTGCAATGAAGAGTAGACCCCGCTCCCCGCAACTAGAGAAAGCCCAGCGCAGCAACAAAGACCCAACCCAGCCAAAAAGAAAATAAAAATAAAATAAATAAATAAATTTTTAAAAAGAGATACAAACTAAACAAGGTCCTACTGCATAGCACAGGGAACTATATTCAGTATCTTCTAATAAACTATAATGGAAAAGAATCTGAGAAAGAATAATATATTTGGCTGGACAAAAAGTTTGTATGGATTTTTCTGTAAAATGTTATGGAAAACCCCGAATGAACTTTTTGGCCAACCTAATATATAAAGAATATATACATAAAAGAATACATATACATTTTATATATATATATATAAAAAGACGGAATCACCTTGCTGTATACCAGAAACTAACACATTGTAAATCAATCATACTTCAAATAAAAATTTTTTTAAAGACATACAAACTACTACGCATAAAACAGATACGCAACAAGAATATATTGTACGGCACAGAGAAATAGAGCCATTATTAGGTAATAACTTTATTTTTTTAATTTTTAAAAATTTATTTATTATTTTTGGCTGCTTTGGGATCTTCCTTGCTGTGCGCAGGCTCTCTCTAGTTGCGGCAAGCAGGGGCTATTCTTCGTTGCGGTGCATAGGCTTCTCACTGCGGTGGCTTCTCATTGTGGAGCACGGGCTCAGCAGTTGTGGCTCGCGGGCTCTAGAGCACAGGCTCAGCAGTTGCGGCACACGGGCTTAGTTGCTCCGCAGCATGTGGGATCTTCCCCGACCAGGGCTCAGACCCGTGTCCCCTGCATTGGCAGGCGGATTCTTAACCACTGCACCATCAGGGAAGTCCCCAGGAGTGTAATCTTTAAAGGAGTGTAATCTAAAAAATATTGAACCACTATGTTGTACACCTGAAACTAATATTGTAAATCAACTATACTTTAATTTAAAAATGTTATTTCTTTATGACAATAATAATACATTATTTATTTAAAATTAGCATTACAAACAAAAACATAAAAGAGGTGAAACAAGACTTATGAATATAAAATTACAAATATGAGGTATTAAAAGAAAATGAGGGCTTCCCTGGTGGTGCAGTGGTTGAGCGTCCACCTGCCGATGCAGGGGACACGGGTTCGGGCCCCGGTCCGGGAGGATCCCACATGCCGCGGAGCGGCTGGGCCCATGAGCCATGGCCGCTGAGCCTGTGCATCCGGAGCCTGTGCTCCGCAACGGGAGAGGCCACAACAGTGAGAGGCCCGCGTACCGCAAAAAAAAGAAAAAGAAAAAAACAGAAAATGCAAAATTTCTGAAAAACTTGACTGAAAACGCAGTGTTCAAGAAAAAACCCCTTTCGGGATTTCCCTGGTGGCACAGTGGTTAAGAATCCACGTGCCAATGTAGGAAACACCGGTTCGAGCCCTGCTCCGGGAAGATCCCACATGCTGCGGAGCAACTAAGCCCGTGCGCCACAACTACTGAGCCTGCGCTCCAGAGCCCACGAGCCACAACTACTGAGCCCGTGTGCTACAACTACTGAAGCCCCCACGCCTAGAGCCCGTGCTCCACAACAAGAGAAGCCACCACAATGAGAAGCCCGTGCACCGCAACGAAGAGTAGCCCCCGCTTGCCACAACCAGAGAAAGCCCGCGCGCAGCAACGAAGACCCAGCGCAGCCAAAAAACAAAAAAAAAACCCTTTCGGATCGGGCCAGCCTGCACTCAGAGTCCAGCTCTCCTCTGTTATTTGCTGCGTGACCTGGAGCATATAACTGACCTCTCCTGATCTCAATTTCCTCTTTTATGAACCAGGGACACCCCACAACCCACAGGGCTGGGGTAGATAATTGGAGAAGTGGTGTTTTTCCTACTAAACTAGGCACTAGCACTGTTACTTATGTTTTTAAGGTAAGAACATCTGCTCTGGCAGTCCCCTTACCTGAGAAAATGAATTTGTAGTTTCTGTCCATTTCGTTCTGCCCCGGGCTTTGCCCCCAGGGGGGTCTGTGCTGCGACTTTGGTGGTTGTGGCCACCAAGCCCCTCCCCGGGTTCCTATCTCCACCAGCTTGTTCTGGGCTCATCTCACAGCTGAAACCTTTCCATTTTCCTTTTACTTTCACCTTCTGAATGTTCACATTATAACCTCAGGCTATGTAATTAACCATGGAATGACTCCTGAAGCTGATCTGATTAAAAGGGATGTTATGAAACTTTATTTCCACATAGTTGGTGCCTATTTCTTGAATTAACTACCCAGATTCTCTTCGGCAAGTTTAAGTCAACCCAGAAGTAACTGAAAATAAATTTAAATGTCTAACCATCTTTAATACAATGTGACCATGAGGTGATACTACTTTTTTTGCTGTTATGTGATGACGGGAGAAGGTGAGGGTCAGAAGCACCTGAGCCTCACCTGCACTTAACTCCCTCGTGACCTATTGGAGGAGCAGTGCGCTCACACGTGAAATTCCAAACGGGCAGGCGTGTGTAGGCCTGTCTGCAAGGCGGAAAAAAAAGCTACCATCTCTCTACTTAATGACGCACATACCAGACATTTTACACATGCTGCATCCAAACCAAGAGCAAATCCTTCTGCCTTCATTTTCAAAGTAAACCCAGACCCACGGGGAGTTGGTTAAAGGGTATAGAGTTTCGGTTTTGCAAGACGAAAAGAGTTCCAGGAGTTGGTTGCACAACAGTATGAAAGAACGAACTCAACACTACTGACTTGCACACTTAAAAATAGTTACAGGGCCTCCCTGGTGGCGCAGTGGTTGAGAGTCTGCCTGCCAATGCAGGGGACACGGGTTCGTGCCCCGGTCCGGGAAGATCCCACATGCCGCGGAGCGGCTGGGCCCGTGAGCCGTGGCCGCTGAGCCTGCGCGTCCGGAGCCTGTGCTCCGCAATGGGAGAGGCCACAACAGTGAGACGCCCGCGTACCACAAAACAAAACAAAACAAAAAAGGTTACAATGGGAAATTTTATGTTATGGGTATTTTTCCACATTCTTTAAAAATCCACACCCACAAAATAAACCCAGACGCAGCCATTTCTCATCCTCTCTGCTGCCCACTTAGATCTACTACATAAGCCAAGTAACCGCTTCATCCTTGCCTCCTGCACTGACTCTTCCTTCCCACGGTGGCTGGGGGACCGCTTCTCACACGGGGGTGGCTCAAGGCCTGTGCTCTCAGAACCTGTCTACACCAAAGGTACTGAGGACCCCAAACAGCTTTGGCTTAGGTGGGACCCATCTATCTATCAGTATTTACTGTGCTGGAAGTTAAAACTAAGAAAAATGTTAGTATTTATTAAGTCATTAAAAAAAAACCCATTGTACGTTATCATAAATAATATTTTAATGAAAATAACTATTTTTTAAAACAGAGTTTACTAAGAAGACTGGCAATGTTTTATACTTTTGCAAACCCTTTCATCTCCTGGCTTAGTAGAAGACAGCTGGGTTCTTACCGCCACTCCTGCAGCCAACATGCTGCTTATGACACGTCATGCAGCCTCTAGAAAACTCCGTTGCGCACTCGTGAGAAAATGAGGAAAAGGCAAGTGATATCTTAATATAATTAAAATAGCTTTGAGGGCTTCCCTGGTGGTGCAGTGGTTGGAAGTCCTCCTGCTGATGCCAGGGACACGGGTTCGTGCCCCGGTCCGGGAAGATCTCACATGCCGTGGAGCGGCTGGGCCCCGTGAGCCACGGCCACTGAGCCTGCGCGTCCGGAGCCTGTGCTCCGTGGCGGGAGAGGCCACAACAGTGAGAGGCCCACGTACTGCAAAAAATAATAATAATAAAATAAAATAAAATAGCTTTGACCTCTCAAATGCCCTGACAAGGTCTCTCGCTTCAGGTCTCTGTTCAAATGTTTCCTCCTCCAATTATAACTGCATCTGCTGCTCTGCCCTCTAGCCCCCCACTTCCTTCTTCTTTTCTCTGCTACTCCTCCCGACCACAGGCAGTCAGCCTGGGACGTGGGGCAGATTACCTGGCTTCCCTTGGCCTCAGTTTCCTCACCGGTAAACTGGGGACGCCAACAGTACCCACCTGGTAGGTTCCTGTGTGATCCAACCAGTCATGTGTAAAATGCTCAGGACAGTGTCGGGTGCTCAGTAGATGCCACAAAGGGGTTGTTTTGTTACTTCTCCTGCACACATACCGGTACAAAACCAGAGATTCCAGGAGGGCGTGACCCTTGTTCTCTGCTAATTCCCAGTACCTTGGGCCACAATAGCATCTTACTCCTCAGGAACTAGCTGGTAAGTGAGTATATAAGGAACCCCACGTAGAGTACAAATAAAATCAGTGCCCTGGTTTATAAATTCTCTCACAGACAAGAAAGTTTTGGTGCTGAGGATTAAAAAAAAAAAAAAGGTATGATTTGGTGTTTTAGACACTGGGAAGATGTTTTTTATTTTTGTTTCTGGAAGGTAGATGTTCTAAGCAAAGGAGACAAGAATCCGGAGGCATGGCATACATCAAAATACCGAGGGGTGTGCCTGGAAAGTAAGCTAAGCCCAAATCCAGGTCACAAAGGCCAAAAGTTTATAGCGCCTCTGGAAAACATCTCCCCTCACAAGAGCTGCTCCCGGGACAAGAGATTTGGTGGAGAGAGTTCAGCTGGTTGTGGTACACCTGCCCTTCTCCTTCTGAAATGCCAGTAATAGTTAACTGGCACACTGCTCTGCACGGGCCGCACAGCTGGCTGCAGCCTTTGAGCTGAGAGGGCTCCAGCGAGCACAGAGAAGAGCCTCGCTTTGCAATCAGGTTGAATGTTTTCCCTAACTGCTGAAAGTCCCATCCTCTCCAGGCCTTGTTAAACTATCCTACGAGAGAGGCTGGAACGCTGCCTGGAGTTACAGACCTAATACAGATAAACTGGCCATTTTAAAGAAAGTACTCCAAAAGTAAAGGAGCTGTTACAGTGGAGGATTCCTGGACTGAATGTCAATATTATGACATAGTATGAGCGTGTTTCGTGTTTGGTAATTGCAATCATTGTTGCTTCTGTTGTGGTCATCCATTTACAATGCTTGGTGTCAGTTTACTTATCTCTTGTAAAAATAAAATACAGTGTGTATGTGTGAGTTGCGAAAAAAAAAAAAAAAGACCATCAAAGAAAACTCCAAAACCTCCGTCGTTTGTCACTAATTTTGAAACAGAGAGGCTCAGTTCAATTCACTATTGATAATGTACTATTAACAGCAATATTCAATTCCAATTTATTTTCACGTTTAAGATTTTATTAATAAAATTATAAGCACATCAAATAAAACTGAAGAAACCTATTCCAATATGTGAGTCCATAAAACCCCTGAGACTTAAACTAAGCGGATTTATTTAGCCTAGTAGGAAAGTAAAAATACTAGGCAAAGCGAATTGCAGAAAACCTGTGATGCATTTCTGCCTACCCTAATGGAAAGGCCTGCAGCTGAAAATGGCTAATGGTTCAAGGGGAATAATAATTGAATAGCTGGTCCCCATTCTTTTATTTTTCCCCACTATTCTAATTTTATAACTCAAAATTTCTAAATTGCTCCTTGAGCTGACAGTAGAATGAAGAGATTTGGCCAGTTCCATTGACTGAGCTTTTAAATATTTAATAAATGATATTTTTAATATGTCATCACATTCAATTGGCATTATAAAACATTTATGGAAACAAATGACTGACGTTTCTGTAATCATCCAAAAAATGTCATAAAGAAAGACATGAGACTACCGGCCATAAGTCTAGGAGCAGGTCACCCATGTTCAGAGTCTTTACCCAATTCATTTCATTACATTCTAGATCATAAAAAAGCCAACTAAGTTTTGACTGGCATAGCATTAACCAAAATCACAGAATAGCAAGGCTAAACCATATGATCATCTCAGTAGATGCAGACAAAGCTTTTGATAAAATTCAACACCCATTTATGATAAAAGCTCTCCAGAGGGCTTCCCTGGTGGTGCAGTGGTTAAGAATCCGCCTGCCAATGCAGGGGACACGGGTTCAAGCCCTGGTCCGGGAAGATCCCACATACCGCAGAGCAACTAAGCCCATGCACCACAACTACCGAACCTGCGCCCTAGAGCCTGTGAGCCACAACTACTGATCCTGCGTGCCACACTACTGAAGTCCACACGCCTAGAGCCCGCGCTCCGCAACAAAAGAAAGCACCACAATGAAGCCTGTGAACCGCAACAAAGAGTAGCCCCCGCTCGCCACAACTAGAGAAAGCCCACGCACAGCAGTGAAGACCCAACACAGCCAAAAATAAATAAAAATAAAAATAAATTAAAAAAAAAAAACACCTCTCCAGAAAGTGGGCACAGAGGGAACCTACCGCCACATAATTAAGGCCATATATGACAAACCCAGAGCAAACATCATACTCAATGGTGAAAAACTGAAAGCATTTCCACTAAGATCAGGAACAAGACAAGGATGTCCACTCTCGCCACTCTTATTCAACATAGCTTTGGAAGTCCTAGCCTCGGCAATCAAAGAAGAAAAAGAAATAAAAGGAATCCAAATTGGAAAAGAAGTAACACTGTCACTGTTTGCAGATGACATGATACTACACATAGAGAATCCTGAAGACGCTACCAGAAAACTACTAGAGCTCATCAATGAATTTGGTAAAGTTGCTGGATACAAAATTAATACACAGAAATCTGTTGCATTTCTATACACTAACAACAAAAGAACAGAAAGAGAAATTAAGGAAACACTCCCATCTACCATCAAAAAGAATAAAATACCTAGGAATAGGGCTTCCCTGGTGGCGCAGTGGTTGAGAGTCCGCCTGCCGATGCAGGGGACGCGGGTTCATGCCCCGGTCTGGGAAGATCCCACCTGCTGCGGAGCGGCTGGGCCCGTGAGCCATGGCCGCTGAGCCTGTGCGTCCGGAGCCTGTGCATCTGGAGCCTGTGCTCCGCAACGGGAGAGGCCACAACAGCGTGAGGCCCGCGTA